CCACCACCACCACCACCACCACCACCACCACCACCACCACCACACACCACCACCACCACCACCACCACCACCACGACAACCACGCACACACGCACGCACGCACGCACGTACGCGCACCACCACCCACTACGCACGCGCGCGCGGAGCCACAGGTCCGCTACGACACGCGTCCGCGGATAGAGAAAATCAGCGCCATGGTAAGGGATGGGAGGGAGGGGTAGGACGTCAGATATGACGCGAGCGCACCTAGCTTGCCCTCCCACCCCCTCTCATTCCTCCTCCTCCTCCTCCTCCTCCTCCTCCTCCTCCTTACCTCATCATCATCATCATCCTCCTCCTCCGCCTCCTTCTCCTCCTTTTCCTGCTCCTCCTCCTCCTCCTCCTCCTCCTCCCCCTCCTCCTCCTCCCTCCATTCCTTTTCCTTAAACATAGCTTATCCCTGTCGCACCCCGGATCATTTTTTTCCAGGCGTTTCGCTTGAGACTTCCTCGCCATTTACGACCCTGACGTTTTACAATGGGCAGCAGCTTCACGGATTGAGGGCGGGTGGTTTTCAAAATGTGGCTCTCGCCGTAGCGCCGCGCACATTCGATTTTCAAAGTTGCAAAGAGTTTCACGGATTGAAGGCGGCCCGTTTTCTTAAATGTGGCTCTCGCCTTAGCGCCGCGCACATTCGTGTGAAATGTTGCAAGAGCTTCACGGCTTGAGGGCGACCCGTTCTCAAAATGTGGCTCTCGCCTTGGCGCCGCGCACATTCGTTTTCAAACAATTGCAAGAGTTTCACGCGTTGATGGCGGCCCCTTTCCACAATGTGGCTCTCGCCTTAGCGCCGCGCACATTCGTTCCAAACTTTGCAAGAGATTCACGGATTGAGGGAGACACGTTTTCAAAATGTGACTCTCGTCTTAACGCCGCGCACATTTGTGTAGTTGAGAGAATTTCACGGATTGACGGCGACCCGTTTCCAAAATGTGGTTCTCGCCTCAACGCCGCGCACATTCGCTTCAAAACTTGAAGGGGCTTCACGGATTGATGGCGGCTCCTTTTCAATATGTGGCTCTCGCCTTAGCGCGGCGCACATTCGTTCTTGATATAAAAAGCAAGACTTTCACGGATTGAGGGCGGTTCTTTTTCAATGTGTGGCTCTCGCTTTAGCGCCGCGCACATTCCTTTATGACACTTGCAAGAATGTCACGGATTCCCATGATCAAAAAACGAAAAATGGCGTTCTGGAAAGATTCAAGATTTTGCGGGTGCCACAAATACGTTGATTCGCGGTGTTGAAGTACCAAGAACGGGCTTCTGGCACGATTCAGGATTGTCAAACTGCAACAGCCCGGTTGATCCGTGGCGTTGGAATCCCGAGAACAATGTTTTGGCATGCTTTAGGGTCTTCGAACGGTTGTCTTCCAACGAGGCAGTTCCCGTAATGGAAATGAACCGTTGTAGGGGCCTATGCAGAGGGAGCTGAGAAGGAGGGTGTATTCCAACATCGTTGATGACTCTTGGGTTTACAGTTGTCCTCCTCCTCCTCCTCCTCCTCCTTTTCCTCCTCCCTCCTGCCTCCTCCTCCCTCCTCCCTCCTCCCTCCTCCCTCCTCCCTCCTCCTCCCTCCTCCCTCCTCCCTCCTCCTCCCTCCTCCCTCCTCCCTCCTCCCTCTCAGGCCATGTTGCGTTCAGGCCACATTCGCCCGAACCGTCCCAGCGCCCTCACGCGGCGCTAGAGAGACACCACTGCAATGGCGCCCCCAGTGTTTCACGAAAGCTGGGACCCATGCCAGTTCGCCCCTGGGCGCGTTGCAAAGGCTGCGGCACTTGCGAATATAGTGACAAATTGGACAGCAAGGACCCGACCTGCACCGAGTGCGACTGTCGGATCAAGCTCCACCGCTGCAGACTTGTCCCCAGGCGGCCACCGTTCGGCCACCGCGCGGCAACGCTGAGATCGTGGAGCTGGAGGACCCTGGAGGCGCCACGACCTCCAAACGTTGGGCTTCCCACGAGATCCTGGCGACTCAATTTTTTCGAGCCGGGCGCTTTCGCCTTCTTGCGGGTCCCGGGACCCTCATAGATCGCTCCGGCTCGAAAAACGACGCCGAAAGATAGGGTCCGGGGCTCTGGGCGCGGATTTTCACGGTGTTGCAATTTTTTCGCTACGTCGGAGCCGTCAAACCGAAATCCAGGATAAGCCTAAGCAGACCCAGGAGTGAGCTATACACGCCTTCACAGCTCTGTCGAATGAGGCGGAGGAGGCGAAGGATAATGATGACGATGGGGAGGAGGAGGAGGAGCAGGAGGAGGAGGAGGAGGAGGAGGAGGAGGAGGACGGAGACTATGAGGAGGAGGAGGAGGAGGAGGAGGAGGAGGAGGAGGAGGGCCAGCAGACGTGACCGGCCATCTCCAGCAGGCACTGGCCGAGGCGACCGCCCCGCAGCCGCAGGGGCATCCTCCGGGGGCAGAGTACGGGGATCGCCGCCCGGCGGGAGGGCGGCACGGACGGC